CACCCCCCCCCCCCCCCACACACACAAAATATAATAAATAAAAAATAAACAAATAAATAAATAAATAAAAGAAGTCCATAATCAGGTCCAGGATTCTCTTTATTCGGTATCATAAAACCACAAAAATATAGAACGTGATGCACAGACAGACAGACACTGTCTGTTCCCTGATTATTTTGAAATCGATTCTTGCATTAATCTCACATTTCCGCGTAGTTCTTATTAGAGCGATTGTTTGTTGTTCAACTCCGTCTAAATCTCATGCCCCATGACAATTCAAACCGTGACTATGACATATTGAGATCCAATAATTGCGTTACAACCACTGTTGTTCTTTATTCAAAGTTTTTTAGATTATATCTAATGCCAAAATAGTGAAGGACTGTAGCCGAGATATATATATATATATATATATTCACAATGCTTATTCAGCATGTTCATGATGTCCGGTGTCGAATAGAGTCAGCTTTTTCTCCTAATAAGGCACCCTGCCCTGAATTATTATTTTTTAAATCTAGGTGTGAATCTTAAGTGAAAAAAATTATAACGTGCAAGATTTTATAAAACTTACCACCGACGCCGGCAGGTCTTTATTTGCCTTTTTCAAATACAACTTGTTCATCTGAAAAACGCCCCCTTAATCCACCCCAAATTTAATGCATTTATAGACATAATATACAAATATATGATTTATCTAGCGTTTGCTTATTTTCAGTGGAGTCATGTGAAAGGGATTACTTTCAGTGCGGCAATGGAAGATGTGTTTTGTTGGTCGATCGTTGCGATGAATTCGACGATTGCGGAGATCAATCAGACGAAGTAAAGTGTCACATGCGTAAGTGCCATTACTGTCAGCTCACCAATAACCAACTTAAAGAATCTGTGAAAGCATTAAATGTTACAGTTAATCAATGGGATCTGTGACCGACCTGCTTATAATGCAGACCTGCCCTTGGGTGTTTTGGCTTTTATTTAATATATTGGGCGATATGAATGAGTAAAACACAATTGCGATATTTTGCTTCAAATTTATAACGATATTTATCGTACGGAAGTATGCAGAGTTTATATATGGGCTCATTCTTTGTATGAAGTTACATCAGTTGCCGTAATAATCGATGAAGTTGTTTTGTTCAAGTGCAACAACATTGCAGACAGCATTAATGCTGATAGTGAAGACTTATGACATTTGAACTTTTTGTAGAAAGCCTTTTTGTGATGTGAATTGACTCAACCAGGATTTTTGATTACAAAAAATGCCACTACCACCATAGATTTAAGAGTAGCATTGCTCGTTTTATTCTCTATATTTAATTATGACGACGTCGTATTGTGTAAATAGGAAAGAGAGACAAATATCGCGTAATTAATCACCCTGAACTTCGGGATAGATGTTAATATAATAATTAGCCGTATTACCCATAGGCACAAGGAATAAATACAGTGAAATCTACATTAATTGATTCTCTTCCGTTTTAGCATGGGACAAGACTAATGTGATAACTTGGCCTTCCACGCTGGGGATCACATTTGCTGTGGTTGCCGTTGGCTTTGTATTGGCAGCGGTGGGGGCAATGGTTTTTGTCAATAAAAGAGAAAGCACAGTAAGATACCAGCAGCTGAACACTACCAGACTGTTTTGTTGAGACTGATTCATTCTAAGTACCTGGTGTATCAGCGGAGAAGATTTTTTTACATTCGAATTTTGTCTGGAATTCACTAAATGATCTCATCCCACTGGTATCTCCTCCTACACACTGTGGCTATAGTAATAACAGATGGCATGTCAGTTCGTAAATCGGTTAACTGTTAAACTGATGTCGGATAAAACGGAAAAGTTCAAAATAATCCCACACAGGTAAACATGTCGAGACACTGCCATATGATTGTTAGAACAGACTGATAAATAACACACACACACACACACACACACACACACACCAGTCATGAGATCCATTCATACGATTTCTGCTAAAAAATGGAAGATTCATGATGTTGCACAGCAATGTATCAGATTAAAAGACGAGTAAAAATCACATTATTGATCAGCGATGGGTTTGATATCAAGTTATTTGCAAAAATATGTGCCATGTAACGATATTTAATAAATTGATATATGAAAGAAGTCCCACACTTTTTTCTCCATTTTTATCTTTTGTTGTGATAAAAATCTGTGGTATCGGTGTCAAGGCTACATATTTCTATATATCAATCCTTGCAATCTGACTTTGAGTTTAACTATATCTTTATCCTTAAATGCCCTCACTACAACACGATTAGGCAGGAATATATTGAGAAATTTTATTATACAAAGCCAAGTGTCTTTAAATTAATTAAATTACTATCACTTAACAATGTATCGCAATTAAACAACTTAGGAAAATACCTGAAATGTGCATCGGAACTAAGATTAATGTCAGTCCGATGAATTATTATTATCATTATTATTATTTTTTGTATCAGTAGTAGTTGTTGTAGTAATGGTAGATGATTATAACTTCTTATTGTCACTGTTTTATATTCTGATGAGCCGTAGGGCTCAAAGGTTTAATAAATTGAAATATCTGAAAACAACATCATGATCACCTCATGTAGCAGCGCGGCTACAAGAGTAAATACTAAAAATAAATACCAGGTTTATTCTGGTGAGTGTACAAGATAATTAGTCCCGCACTNCACCCCCCCCCCCCCCACACACACAAAATATAATAAATAAAAAATAAACAAATAAATAAATAAATAAATAAATAAAAGAAGTCCATAATCAGGTCCAGGATTCTCTTTATTCGGTATCATAAAACCACAAAAATATAGAACGTGATCCACAGACAGACAGACACTGTCTGTTCCCTGATTATTTTGAAATCGATTCTTGCATTAATCTCACATTTCCGCGTAGTTCTTATTAGAGCGATTGTTTGTTGTTCAACTCCGTCTAAATCTCATGCCCCATGACAATTCAAACCGTGACTATGACATATTGAGATCCAATAATTGCGTTACAACCACTGTTGTTCTTTATTCAAAGTTTTTTAGATTATATCTAATGCCAAAATAGTGAAGGACTGTAGCCGAGATATATAGGCCTATATATATATATTCACAATGCTTATTCAGCATGTTCATGAAGTCCGGTGTCGAATAGAGTCAGCTTTTTTCTCCTAATAAGGCACCCTGCCCTGAATTATTATTTTTTAAATCTAGGTGTGAATCTTAAGTGAAAAAAATTATAACGTGCAAGATTTTATAAAACTTACCACTGACGCCAGCAGGTCTTTATTTGCCTTTTTCAAATACAACTTGTTCATCTCAAAAACGCCCCCTTAAATTTAATGCATTTATAGACATAATATACAAATATATGATTTATCTAGCGTTTGCTTATTTTCAGTGGAGTCATGTGAAAGGGATTACTTTCAGTGCGGCAATGGAAGATGTGTTTTGTTGGTCGATCGTTGCGATGAATTCGACGATTGCGGAGATCAATCAGACGAAGTAAACTGTCACATGCGTAAGTGCCATTACTGTCAGCTCACCAATAACCAACTTAAAGAATCTGTGAAAGCATTAAATGTTACAGTTAATCAATGGGATCTGTGACCGACCTGCTTATAATGCAGACCTGCCCTTGCGTGCTTTGGCTTTTATTTAATATATTGGGCGATATGTGAGTAAAACACAATTGCGATATTTTGCTTCAAATTTATAACGATATTTATCGTACAGAACTATGCAGAGTTTATATGTGGGCTCATTCTTTGTATGAAGTTACATCGGTTGCCGTAATAATCGATGAAGTTGTTTTGTTCAAGTGCAACAACATTGCAGACAGCATTAATGCTGATAGTGAAGACTTATGACATTTGAACTTTTTGTAGAAAGCCTTTTTGTGATGTGAATTGACTCAACCAGGATTTTTGATTACAAAATGCCACTACCACCTTATTCTCAGATTTAAGAGTAGCATTGCTCGTTTTATTCTCTATATTTAAAATTAAATAATAATTCTATGACGACGTCGTATTGTCTAAATAGGAAAGAGAGACAAAAATCGCGTAATTAATCACCCTGAACTTCGGGATAGATGTTAATATAATAATTAGGCACAAGTGAAATCTACATTAATTGATTCTCTTCCGTTTTAGCATGGGACAAGACTAATGTGATAACTTGGCCTTCCACGCTGGGGATCACATTTGCTGTGGTTGCCGTTGGCTTTGTATTGGCAGCGGTGGGGGCAATGGTTTTTGTCAATAAAAGAGAAAGCACAGTAAGATACCAGCAGCTGAACACTACCAGACTGTTTTGTTGAGACTGATTCATTCTAACTACCTGGTGTATCAGCGGAGAAGATTTTTTTTACATTCGAATTTTGTCTGGAATTTACTAAATGATCTCATCCCACTTGTATCTCCTCCTACACACTGTGGCTATAGTAATAACAGATGGCATGTCAGTTTGTAAATCGGTTAACTGTTAAACTGATGTCGGATAAAACGGAAAAGTTCAAAATAATCCCACGCAGGTAAACATGTCGAGACACTGCCATATGATTGTTAGAACAGACTGATAAACACCACACACACACACACACACACACACACCTCGAAACCCGACGGTCATGAGATCCATTCATACCATTTCTGCTAAAAAATAGAAGATTCATGATTTTGCACAGCAATGTATCAGATTAAAAGACGAGTAAAAATCACATTATTGATCAGCGATGGGTTTGATATCAAGTTATTTGCAAAAATATGTGCCATGTAACGATATTTAATAAATTGATATATGAAAGAAGTCCCACACTTTTTTCTCCATTTTTATCTTTTGTTGTGATAAAAATCTGTGGTATCGGTGTCAAGGCTACATATTTCTATATATCAATCCTTGCAATCTGACTTTGAGTTTAACTATATCTTTATCCTTAAATGCCCTCACTACAACACGATTAGGCAGAAATATATTGAGAAATTTTATTATACAAAGCCAAGTGTCTTTAAATTAATTAAATAACTATCACTTAACAATGTATCGCAATTAAACAACTTAGGAAAATACCTGAAATGTGCATCGGATCTAAGATTAATGTCAGTCCGATGAATTATTATTATCATTATTATTATTTTTTGTATCAGTAGTAGTTGTTGTAGTAATGGTAGATGATTATAACTTCATATTGTCACTGTTTTATATTCTGATGAGCCGTAGGGCTCAAAGGTTTAATAAATTGAAATATCTGAAAACAACATCATGATCACCTCATGTAGCAGCGCGGCTACAAGAGTAAATACTAAAAATAAATACCAGGTTTATTCTGGTGAGTGTACAAGATAATTAGTCCCGCATTATCATCTTAATTAGGTTAAAAACTAGAACGAGTTTTATGGACCAATGGAAATCAACCTGCCAAAATAACTTTATGTCAGACCACGGAGACACTGGTTTGATTTATCAACCAGCTTCCCATGTGACGTATCAGGTGTATAGATAAGAAAAGTAAACAGTTAAAGACATAAAGACGAGGTGGGGGAGTAACTGCCGTGCACTCCTACAAAACCTGGGGACAGTGAACAACATGATCAACGACCGGTGAGTTACAGTGTTATTCGTCTTCATGGAATGTTATATTAGATTTAGACTATGCAAGGCGATGCAGGTCAGTGCGCTTCATCTTCTGGTAGGTTCCTATTTAGATTTAGGTTTACATTCAGATTGAGGCGAAGAATTTAAATATGTATTTCAAATACGACTGAAACTGTATTATCCGACGTGTGTATCAGAATTCTGCTTATCAAAAACAAATACTGAAAATGAAATGACATGACATTTAAGGTGAAAAAGTTACAGTATGTCACTGCCGACATGGTATTTATAGGCAAAAGGCGAAATAATAAAAAACTAAGATGATGGGGTATTGAAAGTATCATTAAACTTTAAAATCAGGTTCTCATTGTGGTAGCATTTTTCAGCGTTAAATGTTTTCTCTATCCTAGAAATGCCACAAATCTTACCTTATTTAATAATAACAGTGGTGCTATCAAGTTACGTTAAGGAATACATAACTTTTATTTATATTTAGTTTGAATATAGTTAGCATTAACTCCACCCTTCTAACAATAGTAATAACAGAAACGGTATGGTTTTTTGCAGGCCCGTGCACGTATACATGTATTTGTTACATTTTTATAATGATTAAAGGTCTTGAACCGTCAGGAATGATCTACTCTTATCTTATCCTATCCTATCCCGTTATTTGGGCTACATATATTAAAACATTTTGTCATTTTTCACGTCGTGAGTTTTAATAAACAGAGGTGATTTTAATGTTTGACAGACTCGAGCAAACCTACATGCATATTACACGACAGGAAGTATGTATATTGATGGCTGGTATACTTCAAGAAAACGAGTTTCACAAACCTTTAAAAGCACTTAAAATGTTATTTATAATATGCATCCGCACCTTCTTTAAGTGAAAAATTCTACTAGAAAAGCAAAGTTTCCGGAATTTACGTGTTGTTTTCATATCTTACAATGAAACAAGCATATATTGTGTACGTGCATGTAGGACACGAATTAAATGATAGCAGACAATTACTGATGACAATACGGTTTCCAGCTTGTCATAAGACGTGTAATCAAAAGAGATAATAATTAACGTCTTTTACAAGATCATTTAAGTTACTATGAGTTTCGTGTATTGTCATTAATAATTAATTGAAGGCTTTGATGAATACTTCACCTTCAGTCAAATTATTCAAATAACAATAAGTGAACAGGTCATAGTTTGAGCTGAAATTTATATAGCTTTTTACTATTTATGATATTATCGTCAAAGGCCTCAATCTTTTTAATAAAAAAATCTTACTGCCCGTGGGTAGTCATCGTTTGCCCGAAAGCTCCCCCCTACATTTTGTATCAGTGAATGCCTGGTCGACCTTTAAGACAATCATAGTCACGTGTGCCATCGTAAACTGGCACAGTCTGATAATGAAAATACGTCCCAAGAACCATCTGAGATAAAAGCGTCCTGTTAGCATTCCAAGTCATGCATTTGGCACGTGCCTAAATAGGTACAGCTTCTGATTAGAATAAGTACAAGTTCTCAGCATATATCTCGGCTAGCAAATGAAATAACCAACTATGTCAAAACCGAATTTTTCTACAGATGAAAAATGGGAAATAACTGGATACAGACTAAAGACAGACTGGCGGTAGACATTTTTATATTAAATTAAGATCAATTATTATAGAAAAGCTAAATAACATGTTTTAATATAGAAATATGTATACTGCAACACAAAATGCACCGATAAGCAAACAAAGTGAGGTTTGTTTTATTCTAAAGATTCTTTGGTGAAAAAATTTTAATAAAGGGGTCTCTCTCTCTCTCTCTCTCTCTCTCTCTCTCTCTCTCTCTCTCTCTCTCTCTCTCTCTCTCTCCTGT